GGTGGCAGGCATGCGAGTGCGCAGCAGGCTCAGCGATGCGGGGCGGAAGGCTGCCCAGTGGCGGGCTCTGGCCGCTGAGGCATGGCCGGCTCTGCTTCCCTCCCTCCATCCGGACTGCCTGCCTGCCTGCCCGCCTGCCTTCCTCCCTGGCCAGCACGGCCCTGCGTCACTCACTCAGTGGTGGTGGTGGCAGCTTCTTCCTGGCCCAAATGAAGTGCACCCGGCGTACAAGACGACCCCCCCCACTTGGAAGCATGTTTTTTGGGCCAAAAAAGTCATCTTGTACGCCGGCAAATATGGTATATTTCTTTTTTTGAACATAAAGCAAGGGAGCAATTATGCCTGTCACCTATCTGGGGAGGAACAAAAAATCTGACAAACCATTATTTGTTACATTTTTATGAGATTTTGTTCTCCAGAGTGTTCAAGGCACCAGAGAGGGTCCTTCACCTCATTTGTATTCTTACAATAAGCCTGTGAGGAAAATTGGATGAGGGACAGAGACTGATCCAAGTTCCCCCTTTAACCATCCTCGTTTTGTCTTAGAAGGCAGTAGATCTTAACTTTCCACAACACTTGCGATACTTGTCTGTCTTGGAAGATCAAATGATCAGAGACCTTTGGGTAGAGTGGGCGGCATATAAGATGAATAAATAATAAATGATAATGATAAGTGTCAAGCATTGGTTGAGCCTTATAGTTAAGACCTCAAGCAAAATTGTATATCTCAGATATTGTAGGGCAGGACTGAGGGATGGGTGCATGGAAACTTAAAGGGGATAAGGTGAAAGACTGTAGGGCTGTTCCTCTGTCTTGAGTCCGCTGGTTTCCTCTGCAGGGGCCTGTAATCAAAGTGAACAGCAATCAGCGTTATGCTTCAACTGCTATCACGGAAGCACTGATCCGTGAGATTGCCAGCCGTGTGAATGTCCCCCTTCAGGTAAGTCTTATTCTACCTCTGTGTGAAAACTGACCCAAATTACTTCCTTACAGTTGAGGATTATCATCTTAAAAGAGGGAGATGGGGCAGGGGTGCTTCTGCTTGGCTAGAGATACAAGGAAACCATATAGAGTTGTGTCTCTCTGCAGTGGATTTCATTGTTTGCACTCAGTGGAGTAAGTTGCCCTATGTGCCATGGGAGAGGACCAGAGACAGAAGGATTTTGGAGTTAAGTGCTATGAAGATTGCTTTTCTCTACTTCAAGATGCTTTGGTTCCCCAGCCATTTTATTTCCCCGTTGTTTTTTGTTGGTTACATTTGTATCCAGTTTTCCATTCAGTCAGCATGGCTTTCCCTTCTACTTTATCCTCACAACCACCCTGTGAGGTAGATCAGGCAAAGACCATGTGACTCACTCAACACCAAGGCCACTCTTGAGAGTTTTGTGCTGACAGGATTTGAATCCATGCCTTCTGCTACTCAAACACTCTAATCACTATTCCACACTACCTCAGGTTCCTTGTTCTGTTATATCCCATAGAACTTTCTAGATGTTGGAGTTGGGATTGACAGCATCAAGAGCCTTATTCCCAAAAAAAAAAAACTTGTTCCAGAATCTAGGTTCAGCAGTTCTTTATTTGTTTCCCCTCGCTATCTAATTTTCAGCTAGTGAGCTTTTCTCTGGGCATTGCAGGTGCCTGTCAGCAGTTTGAAACCCCTTTTTTCCTTTTTGTCCATTGTAGGAATTCATGGTCCGGAATGATTCTCCCTGTGGCACCACTATTGGCCCCATCCTGGCCTCCCGCCTTGGCTTGCGCGTGCTAGACATGGGCTGCCCACAGCTCGCTATGCACTCCATTCGCGAGATGTGCTGCACATCAGGAGTCCTTCAGGCCACGACTCTTTTCAAGGTGGGCAGCAGCTCTGGTGGTTTTGCCCCGAGGGTGGCATCATGTCCTTTGGGGGAGGGGGAAGGCTTTAAAGGTATTGGCAGATGACATTTCTATCCTGGTTTGTGTCTTACATTTACTCTTACATTTAAACCCCACCTTTCTCCAGAGGAGCTCTTTACCCCATGTTGTCTGACAGCAATGCTCGTGAGATAGTGTTTAGGCTGAGAAGTTGGGCAAGGAAGTGGCTTCTCTTCCATAAACAAGAATTCTCTTAGTGGACCTTTTCTCTCAGATTGGGAAGGACACTGAAGGCTGTAAAGGCATGAGGCTCTAGAAGGAAAGTTTGGCAGAGTCAGAGGTCCAGCGTGTGTGAAGCACTTGGTGCAAATAAGATGTCCATGTATAATGTTCAGGCCATACTACCCTTACACACAGACATCCGTGGTTGAGAGTTGGGCCCGGCTGCCTCCCACACACACTCCCTCTCTTCCTTGTCTGTATGTTACCATGGCAACGACAGCGGCCCTGAGTCAGTGATTGGTTTCCATGGCAACATTGTGCCTCACGATTTTCTAGCTGTCATGGTGACACTATCATGTGTGTGTGTGTGTGCTGACAGCTGCCCTGCTTTCTCCCCTGAGGCCTCTTCTCCTATCTCTCTCCAAAACTAATTCCTCCTTTTTCTGTTTCCTAGGGCTTCTTTGAGCTGTTTCCAGGCCTGGATCAAGAACTGACGAGCTATTAATGAACGTCTCAAATGCTGGAAGAGGCTAGCCCCTCACTTTCTTTCCCCCAGTCCAGAAAACAATTAAAACACCTTTAATTCAGCAACTTCCTGGTTACACATGGGCTTGTTTCTAAGTAGTTGCAAGTTTATTTTCCTTCTCTTGAACTGTTCCCTTGAACAAACCTGGCACCTCATCCTGTGAACTGTAGTAGATTCAGAGCAGAAGAACCTGTGGCATAAAACAGCTTGGCCTTGCCTCTTTGTCTTTCGAAGTAGTCAGAAACAGGAAACGTTGCATTTTCCTGAACCAACTCCCAATATAGCCCAGCCAGTGTGGCTGTTCTGGCTGGGATATTCTGGGAATTGTAGTCTGGAAAAGCAACTCCTCCATTTCTGACAGAAACTGTTTTAAGAAGTTTTAAAGGGTGATCCACAGTTATCTCAGTGCTTCAAGTGGGCACAGAAATTATAGATGACAATCCAGTGCTCATGAATGCCAAATGATGCATACTTTAATTTCTCATTTACTCCACCCCCATATCCTATCTTTGCATGCTCATGGGGCTGCCAATTAGTTTCCAGCCTATATGAAGTGGTTCTCTTGAAATGTCACTGCAAACTGTTGGTGTTAGAACAACTATTGGATAAGGTGCATGTAGGTAGGATTTCTAAACCTCAGCATTGCTCTGAAGGGCTGTCTGTGCATACATAATCATATAACTCAAAAGGTCCTTGCTGTTGTGTGTTTCCAGGGTATAGTGGAAATCCCAATAAACTGGTTGCCCAGGTATGAATGAATGCAGGCTACTTTATACCAGCCTGGGATGGTGGGGACTGTAGGGATATTTTTCATTATCTGTATGAGAAGTTATGGTTTTAATCCAGAATAGTGACCACAAGTACCGTGTGGTTTACGCATATGTCTTAAATAGAGCGGCCAGTGTTGACTCACTAAGCTCAACAGTGATGCATTAGAAGCAGAAAGAAAATGAAAAACAGTATGAGAGCCCAAAGATGTACATTCTCATTCATGGTGTCATCCAGCTGTTTTTCAGTCTTGGGCACCAGTGTTGGGGAATCTATCTTTCACTATGTTGTTGGTCTGGAGCTGTCATTACCACTCACTGATAATGAGAGATGTAGGCTAGTAAGATTAGAGGATCAGATGTTCTCCACACCTGGAGAAAAATGTCCAGCTAGCACCATTTCATCCTCTCCCAAAAGCAAAGCGGTAGACAGGTGTTGCTTTTGCAAGCACACACGGACTGTGATCAGCTTCTTTGTCTAACCAGTTAGCTCTCTTTCTTGGCTTTCTGAATACATTCAAATACTTCAGTTGTACAAAAACCTCATACTTTTCAGGTGTATATAGTGGACAATCTTTTTGCATCTTATCTTTCTAAACTGATTACAATGGTGGCTGTGATTTTAGTAGATTATGGAATTCATTAATCATTATTGTGTTTCTAATAAATAATAATCATGTGCCATCAAGTCAATTCTGACTTACAGCAATCCTTTTCAGCGTTTTCTAGGTAGGAAATACTTGGAAATGGTTTACCTTCCCTTCTTCTGGGGCACCTAATTATTATAATGGAATTATTATTTATCACAGAAAACTAGACTGCGTATCCATGGGTTAGGTTGGGGGTAGGCCACCCAGGGCTAACACAACTAGAATCCAAAACATCTAAAGGCCACTGCCCTCATTGAGGGTATTCTGCATAATGCTACAAATTAGAAACAGCCTTTAAAACTGGCCATTAATAGCAAAGACTGGGTGGACATCATACTGGCTTACATTAGATGTTGTGTTTATATCTTGCATTTCATCCAAGGAGTTCAAAGTGGAACACATAGCCCTCCTTCACATATTACTCTTACTAAAAACCCAAGAGAGACATTTTAGTGCACTTGGTTAGCACACTGGGGTTTCACTATTACCTTTAAGGCAAGTGGAACAGTGTGGGATAACTGGCGCTCACCCAAACAAATAACACCTACAGTGTTCTGTCCTGAGATAAAGCATCCTGCTGGTTTCCTACACTGCTTCTCCATGTGCCTCTTCTGTGTATTTCTGGTTTATGTTGGGGGTGGGAGGAGGGGGAGGAAAATGTCATGAAATAAGACAAGAGAGTGACACCCGCTACTTCTAGTGGTTTTTTGTTATATGTTCATCCACTGGTCATTTCAGCAAAAGTTGTTTGCAGTTGCACAGCCCTCTACAGGCCAAGGAATGTGTATGGGCAATGTGTCCCTTCTGGAAACATTTCTACTTTCTCTCTTACAGTAAGCATACTAATTCCTCTGCATCCTTTAAAATAAAGAATCACATGAAAAGGTGGTGGAGGTTGCAATATATATGATGATGTTTTGAAGCAGTAAGAATTTTGATACAGATGTTGTGGGATGCTGCTGGATTGAAAGAAGTGGTACAGTGCGCAGCCAAGAGCAAGGCTAGTTCTGCATAATCCTGAAGGATATGCTAGGGACCTTTAAAAAAAAAACCAAACAGAGGGAGGGATGAGATAATGTTGCCTGGGAACCTCCTTGAAATACGTTTTTCGAAAAAGTGTTGAACCTAGAGGATGGCCTCCATAGATTTGCTTTTGAAGCTCTCTTCTACGTTGATATCCAAAAGGAAAAATCGGAGGAGGCGCTCAGAAGATGGATCTTGCTGAATGAATAATGCGTAATACTGGAGGGGCTGTGAATTCACAATGGGCTATTTTTGGAGAAAATCGTGATAGAGGGGATTCAGTGGAATGTGGCCAAAACCTAGGCTGTGATTAATGCCCGCCTACAGGAGGTGTAATTCAAGAGCTTTACAAAGTAGTGATTGGTGTGAGCCTAAAAAGCATCAGGAGTGAGAGGTGTACCAGCCTAGATTTGCAATGTTAGCGCAATTGGTCGGAAGACGCCTAACATGGATGGGGGGGTGATATTAGCATAGTATGAGGTTGGAGAGGCGCGGTCTCTCATTTAATAGGGAGGTGGTGCCTTTCAGAGAAGGGTGTGACACTGAGATGTGAAGGTTGGCCATTCGGGCGGAGGCGTGTCCTTTCTCTGCATTGTGATAGGCTAGTCAAGCCTGGGCGGGCCGAGGCCGCATTTTGCAGGTTTCTTGAGATTGGTTGCTTAGGGGGAGGAGGCGCGCGTCCCGGACTTGGTCTGGAGGGGGCGCCTGGGCACTAGATCAGGGATGGTGCAGCGGCCGTGGAGGCGGCGGCTGCCCGGGCTGTGAGCTGGGGCCACCTGCAGCCGGCATGGGGCGGTGGCGGAGGCTGCTCCGGGCGCTCGGCTGTTTCCTCCTCTTGCTGCTGCTACCACCTCTCTTGTTCCTTGGGGCCGGGGCTGCTGGGGATCGCCCGTTGCAAGTGCTGCACGGTGAGAGAGCTGGGGACGAGGATGGGGTGGGAGGGCGAGCGAGCGAGCGGGCTGCCCGGGCGAAACGAGTCAGGAGATCCATGAGAAGAGGTCTGCGGATGCTCCAAGGGTACAACAGGGAAGAACAGCTCGCGGTGCTAGAAGCTGGGGGGCGGCGGGGGGGGGCCTCGGGGTACTCTCCCCCCTCCACCTTCCCTTCCCTCTCGTCCACCCTCCTCGCTGGCATACAGACCTGAGATAGCGACTTCGGGTCCATATGGCAGTACATATGTACATAATCCCTTGTAGGCTGGAGTTCCCCTGGTCCTGATTTCACTCGCTCGCTTTCTTTCGGAAATCAAACGGGCTTTTCGAGGGGGGTTTGGAAACCTATCTGTTCCAAGCTCGGGGATGATGAGTTTATAGGTTTGGAGTCCTGGATTGCTGGCGGGTTGTGGGGAAAAGCGGTTTCGCTGGGCAGGAGGAAGGGCGATGCGAAAGGAGACAGGGAAATGCTGGCACAGGCTGTCCTTTTCTTCGTGCCAGGATCCTAGCTCCGGGAGGCAGTGGCCAGCGGCGGACCTTCTGTTGAGACCTGCCCCATTCGTCAGTAGGTCCTGCCTGCATCAGTTCTCCTGAAAAGCGGGAACCCCACCTCCCTCTCCCCTCCATCATCGTGAGCTGAGCCCCACACTCACACACCCTTTTCCTAGGGGGAGGGTCTCCCTGCAGAGGCTCCAGAATAACGAGGACCGCTGAGGTCTGAGGGGAGGGTCATCTTTTCTCTGTCCTCCCCCTTCCCCTCGACTGCTAATATGACTGTACCACCTCTTTCTTGGCTGATAAGGAGTTTCACCACCTCCCTTTTTCCTCCATTCATGCGGGTTCAGCCCCCGCCAAAGTGATATTGTCACCATTTTGCGTGGCAGCTTGTCGTGTGCACGTCACAGCGTTG